GAAAAGACCTCACAGCGGCGCATTATCCGGGAGTGACCTGACAGCCGCACATTATCCGGGAGTGACCTGACAGCCGCACATTATCCGGGAGTGACCTCACAACAGCACTTACGCATGTTTTTTCCAAGGTTGCCTGAATTCACCACTGGGCATCTGTGAAGCGCTGTTGTGTTTCTTCCCTTTGATGTGATCTGTGAATGAGAAAGGTCTCCTTTTTTTGTTGCACATCTATAAAACAAGGCATTCCGATGATGACACAGCAGCCCTTCCTATTGGCAAAATACAAGATCATGAACACACATCCCAGCATTCATCTACCAAGATACTGTGAATTATATCTTTAAGAAGCTCTGCTGACCTTTATTTTTAACCTCAGTGTGTGCTGCTGGACAGAGGCTCACCTTGAAGAGGATGTACAGGATATAGAGGAGAATCCCAAAGCCATAGATGGGAAGGATCTGTCCCACGAGGCTGGCCTTCCCTCCCCCCACAGCCCCTACAGGCCTCGTCTTAACCTTGACATAGGCCTCTGGGCTATGAGCCTTTGAATAGGGCTGCCCAGGTCCCAGGTGTGCTTGGCCCTCTGCCTTGTTTTGCCGTTGCATCATGGGAGGTAATCGCCCAGGCCCAACTACCAAAAGAAACAAAACAGCCATGTTCAAAACTGACAGCAAAAGTGGTCAATGGGGCAGTTGCTCTATTAGTTTTGCTGTAGCTTGGAGTTTTAACTGGAGCAAGCCATGTGGTTTTTTACACTTCACTGCTATGTTCTCTAAAACTGCAATTTATATCTCAACTGAGGTTTAAAAGACAGGTTTAAAACAAATGACCACTAGAGGTCACTTTTTCTGTGGTTTATCTTACACCTGCTCCACAAATAGTTTAGCTGCAGTTTGGATTTTTGTAGTTTAAACAGGCCCGCAATTCACACAGTATTAATAACCTATTTAACAATTTTAAGTCTTTCATCGTGTAGCCTATTGCGTTATGCAGGCAAAACTGACAAAACCATTAACCAAAGGCTTGAGTAACTACATAGGGTTCATATAAAATGTAAGGTACCGTGCTTAAACTGAAGTTAGAGGGTTATTGGTACAGTAGTATGCAAAAGTTTGGGCACCCCTCGATAAATAACATTTTGGTAATTTTTTAATGGAAAAGATGTAAACACAGTCTCTGTAGGAAATGGAAAATATCACAATATTTTCACCAAACATTGATGCATAGTTACTTTTTATGTCATAAATTGAACAAAGACAAAACATAAAAACATTATTGTGGCACTCTGCAGAAGTTTGGGCAGCCTAAGAGTTCCAAAGTCTGAGATTCTTTTTACAAGGTTTCAGACCTTAATCAGCTCATTAGATCTGAGGCATGGCAACAGCTGTCATTAGTAAATGTCAGCTGGTGCCAATTTCAAAGCTTTACAAATACTCTGACTCTTCAAACCTTGTGCACACACTTGTGGACACTCAACAACCATGGGTTCCTCTAAGCAGCTGTGTAAGACTCTGAAAAATGAAAGTTATTGATGCCCACAATGGAGGAGAAGGCTACAAGAAGATAGCAAAGCGTTGTCAGCTTGCAGTTTCCACAGTGAGAAATGTAATTAAGAGATGGCAGTTCAGGGGAACTGTGGAGGTCAAGATGAGATCTGGATGACCAAGACAACTCTCGGAGAGAACTGCTTGTATGCTGATCAGAAAGACAAATCAAAACCCCCATTTGACTGCAAAAAACCTGCAGGAACATTTAGACTCAGGAGTGGTGGTGCATCGTTCTACAAGACCTTCATGAAAGAATCAGCAGAAGAAAACCTTACCTGTGTCCCCATCATAAAATCCAATGTCAGAAGTATGCAACAGAACATCTACAGAAGCCTGATG